ATTATACTACGTTGCCTTTAGATGAGCCTTCACGTCCACAGTGGCGGATTCAAGGGGGGGGGGAGCCGGCCAGGGCCCCTAAATTTTTAAAAATAAAAAAAAATAGGGGAAAAAAATTGCCATTTCCGGCCATCTAGAGGTGACATAATCATAAATTTTCGTACCTCAGCCCCACCGTGGGGCTGATGTAATATAGACCCTCCATCTGTGGAAGTACCGTACCTATCTGGGCCCTGTCTATTTCAAATTCCGGATTCGCCACTGGTCCAGCAAAAGAAACAAGCATTATTAGGATTTCAAAGCTACTGAAGTAGTACAGTACTAGCAGCTGAACAAAAGGTAAGGTGTAAACTAACATGACGTTAGACTAACATGACGTATTCGCTATGAATGAAAACACATTATATTGACATTACGAATGTTTTCTCATTTTACTTTCTAATTGAAAGTTAATGCCCTATTTGAACTGCAAGTTAAGCAGTTGACATATTTTTATTGTTGTGTGTATGTTTTATATTTTGTAATGTTGAATTTATTTATTGAGTTATTTATGTTTTATAATGTACATGTGTAAATGATATCATTATGTTTAATTGGGTTATATATATATATTAGTTAATGCAATATATATTTTTATACGAAGTTAATTCTGTATATTTAACAGTGTAGGCCTATTACATTTTTTGTACTAATTTGTATTGTTTGTTACTTTATAGTCCAATTTCAAAAGTAAAACTATTTATGATTTACAAGTATGTTATAATAACCCATATTTTATGTTTCTGTACTAATGGACTGATATAGTCCGAATTTAAAGTATTACAATTTTATATACGTAGTTTACTTACATTTTCTGGCATGTACGGTACGATATTAAAACAGCCACTGCCTATGCAACTACATTTTCATATTAAATGCTTTACAGTAATTGTATTTTGTGCTGAAAGTGACACTCCAATGGCTCAGGGTTGGGAGTCAGGACATGACCGACACCACTCCCCATCAATCCATCCGCAAAATGGCATCATGAACAAAATGACTTTTTTGTACTAATTTGTATTGTGTTACTTTATGGTCCAATTTTAAAAGTAAAACTATTCATGATTTACAAGTGTCTTATAATAACTCACTTAGGATGTTATTACACGGACCCCAGCACTGTAGTGCCAGTGCTATGTTCGTTAGGACTTCCTTTATTCTATTAGTTAGGAAATGAGTTTACAGTTTTTGGAGTCGGTTAACTAACTCTCGCAATAATCTTGTGCGACTCATTATTAACAATTTAGTTATGAATTTTTTTTTATTGAAGGAATGGAATGAGCTATTGTACTAGCTGTCATGTAGACTTTTTATATATTTGACTATTATTTATTTTATGTTTTTGTACTAATGGACTGATATAGTCCGAATTTAAAGTATTACAATTTTATATACGTAGTTTACTTACATTTTCTGGCATGTACGGTACGATATTAAAACAGCCGCTGGCTATGCAACTACATTTTCATATTAAACGCTTTAATTGTATTTTGTTCTGAAAGTGACACTCCTAAGGCTCAGGGTCGGGAGTCCGGACATGACCAATACCACTCCCCTTCAATTCATCCGCAAAATAGCATCATGGTAAAAATATCTGGAACATTTCTCTCCTAAATAACAGGAATGAACGACCAACACTATACTTATGCTGTTATTCATTATTAAAATGTTTCATGTAATTGTTTAGACTACAGTATATTGGTCTTTAATACAGTACCAAAATATAAGCAATAGCAACTCTAGTGATGTGGCGGATCTATTTCGAAAGAGGGAAGACAAATTTTTCAGAATAGTACAGTAGAACCCCTATTAAGGGGATACCTTCAGGACCAATAAAGTGTCCCCTTAATAGGGGTGTCCCCTGAATAGGCGTACCCCTATATTCAGGGGACACTAACCAAAAACGTGAAATTGTTCCCTTAATAGGGGTTTTTGGCATGCTTTCATATAACGATGACATACAATTCTTCATAATTTTATTTTTATTGCCATAATTTGTTACAGTAGAATTATAACTAAAATTCTAGTTTTTTGCTCAACTTCAAAATTTCAAAATTCAATTTTTAATTTCAATTTATTCAGAAAACCTCTGGAACAGAGAAGTAAAACAGTAAGCCTAAAATAACTTTAAAACTAGAAATTGCAAATTGCAAGTGAAGTGCTGCGAAGTACAACTGCATATAAATGTTCTTCGATCAAAATTATTTATGTGAGTCAAGTGAAAAAAATGAATAATAAAAATATAACAAATAATATGAGACACGACCCATCGTCTATATTAGAACACTTCTCATTGGGTAACAAAGTCGTAATTTTTCATTTTTGTCAAAGAGTGTCTATAGTAGTTAATTATGGTTTAGGTTTTTTTTAATAAAGTTTCAAAAATTTGTGGAAAATGTAGTTGATTACCAAAGGTTACAATTTTGTGGAGTACAATTAAAAAAAACAACTATAGGTCTAATAATGAATTATTGTGAAGTTAAATAGACAATGTTAGCTATCAAGGAGCGACGTTGTTTTTCATTGGGACCTTCGTCCCTTCAAGGCTAGGCCTATACCATCCTAGCTAGTCTAGGCCTAGAGTAGGATAAAGCTAGCGCGACATGCGAACGTTGGTACGTGTTGGTTAGTCTACGAACATCGCAAAAAGTAATTGATTTTACCCGGCAGAACGAAAGAAGGAAACTCCGCTTTTCAGTCGTCTTAGGCCCTTGTTTTTTGACAAACAATGACCTTTCAGAGGTCAAATTGCTGTCAAGAATATGAATTGGCTGCTTCGCAGCAACAAGAGAACAATTTCATTAAAAAGTTATTCATACATATACCAGTACAGGTATAATTAAAATAAAAACCCAAGAAAAAATTGGACGAATTCTCAAAATACAAAATTCAATCAAATCAATAAGAGGAGAGGACAGAACACCAATTAAAAAGATACAAGCAAAACAACAAACCAGGAGCGGATCCAGAAGTTTTGGTTAGGGGGGCTATAGGTATATGTGTAAAGTGCTATTAAATGTATGTATGTGGTGTATGTG